GTTTTTTCATGTACACAGAATCGTGCAGACTGCAGAAACCTGAGTGATATCAATTCTCTCAAGTCAAAACATCAAATGAAATATTAAGTGTACATGTACATTTTGTCAACTGAACTAAAAACATGTCCTATAGCCAATGAATACTGATAGCAAAAGTATTGAAATAAACTACCAGCATTTTTGATGGTGTGTTTCTTCTGTTCACAGATACAGCTTGCGTGTCAAAGGTAACGACACAATACGCCTGAAAATGAAGAGTTCCTTGTTGCATGTAGGTTTCCTAATTTCTCTTTAAGTGAAGTTGTAGCTTTCATTCCTCTTAATATGGTGGTGACAGAAGAAAGAGAAGAAAAGCTAAACCACAGATACCAAAGGAACCCCTCAGCTTACCATAAATACCTAGCCACAAAACCAGCTCTGCCACGGATTGTAACATTATAACGCAACATCCCGCTCTCAGGAACAGTCAGAAAAGGGTTTTCAGGCTCACACAGTCATTTGAGATGTGCAGGTGACGTTTGCCACGCAGCCATATCTCTCACTTCACTGGCCATGGCAGAGAGATGCCAAGATCAGCCTTTAGCTCTGCTCCCCCAAACCAGGCCTAAAATAACCATCTGCCCTCTGCTAAGCACAAGGCTGTTAGCCCCCTTCACTTCTCCTGTCACCCCCACCTGCACAACATGGGGACACAAGAACTTTCTACATACTGATGGGCGAGAAGAATCTGGCCTTTAAAAACGAGGAGCCAGCGTGATGTTCCAGATTTAATCTCTAGAGACATGGTTCTTCTGCCTTTGACAGATATTGTACGTGCCAGCCTGGGAGAGAGGATTTTCCTCTCCTGATTAAACATTGAAGAGCAGACATAGCATTTTATAACTAAATGATTAAAGATAGGTATGAACTGGGAATGATGTATTACATTATGCCCATGCTCCTTTATTAATCTTAAAGAGAGAATCACTTTACCGTAATAGGTCTAAAAGGGGCATTTCTCTGTGTTGCATAACAACACAGCATTCTCTGAAATCAGGTCAATTAGGTAAAAATACCTTAGGATAGAACCTAGTTGACCTCAACAGGCGTGCGTTGTTTGAAGCTAACATAACCAAGGCACCATAGCCTAGGCGAAGAATTGGCTCTGTGTGCCTGTTCACAATACCTTAATTTGCCTAAGAAGCCAGTGTAAGAAAGAAAAAGCAGTGTGTATTATTCTATGTTAGACACGCACAGTGCTTGAACTCTTATTTGTTTAAACGTGCACACACTTAAATAAGGAAGAGAGAAAAAAAATTAAATTGTCCTCTACAAAACCAAAATTCCTGTCAAACTGTGCCCCCACCCCCTCCCCAGGCAGTGTAGGAAGAAATTGAAATGTAGTATCATCTTCTAGGAAGTACACCCCCTCACAGTTGGAGCACTACTATTATCAACCATTTTATTCTCTCTTCCTAGCTGCTTATAATCACCTTTTCAGCAAATATGAACATTTGCTGAGAGGGATGGAAGCAAAGCACAGATGTCAAAATTTCTACAGGAACATGTAGATGCTTCTGTTCAACGCCAGCTTCTTTCATCAAACACTCTTCTCTCTCCTCTACTACTGACATTCTGTTTTCTAAATAATAAGAAAACAAAGCCTTTTTGATCTTCACATTTTGTCTGTGCAGCTAATGTTGTCTAAAGGTTCTTCTGCATGACTGTGCTTGCATACATGAAAAATTGACATCTAAAACAGTATCTGTGTGGCAAAACACTGTGGATAGCCCCTGTAAACACAGCCCACAGCACTTAAGGCAAATTTTGCAGCAGATACTCTCCTCTTAATATATAGCATAGAAAAGAATTCTCAATATCTAAAGGAAATGCTGTCTAGATCATCTTCGTAAATCCTTGTATGGCAGTAAATCTTGTCCTGTCACAAAGTGGTTTCACAAGACCTTTTAAGAAAGCGTAGAAAGTAATCTCACAAACTGTTGTACATTTTCAGTATTAGCATAGCTTGTTTTGACAAACTTGTGTCTATAAGAATTACAGTTTGCATAAAGCATCAAGTACAGAGTTACTACCTTGACTATGTCAAGGCAGACTGGTTAGTAACACATTCTGTTGTGAGTATCATAACTTCCTTGTTTACTGTTGCAGAAATTTGCCAATGAAATGGCTCTTAAAAATTGTATTAATTTATATCCTTTAAAGAAAAGTCTGTAACAAGGAGAATGTACAGATTACATAGAGAATATTAAAAATTTACAATCATTTAAATTCAGTTATTTCAAATCTAGGAAAAGAAAAATGGTGGCTATTTCCCATGTATTTAACAATGAAACTGCAGATTTTATTTAGATAATCAATTAGAGGAAGTAATCCAGAACTTTAAGAATCCAGAGATGTTTTTTAAACTGCCATGTCTTTACTAAGAGCCAATAAAAAAGTGACTTGGCACTTTCAACAGTAACTTATCACATGAAAAAAAAAAAAAAAAGCAGCAGTGAAATGAGCATTTTTGGGAATAAGGGAATAATCTTAAAAATTAAAAGAAACAATGTGCAATGACCTCAGGAGGTGAGGATTAATACAGCAGTGTCTAGAAATAGCAAACAGCAGTAGGACAAGGGCAAAATCTCACATAACCTTATGTATCCACATCTGCTCTAGTTGCCAGAAATTCTTTTACCATCAGTGGAGAGAAAGACACAGATCTAGGGTGCAGTGCCATGCTTCTGGCCTGTGTCACTCATTTAGTCAAAGGTGATGATGAACCACATGCTGGAAGGGACACCTTCTCCCCAGTTATAAAGGAGGCCTGGCTGACTCCCTCAGATGTAGGTGTCTCAAGCTACGGAGATAAATCCAAACCAGTAGTCTGATATGGTGAAACAATAGTTATGCTTTTATCACAGCCTGTAATTAGATATTTCAGTACTTCAGCAAAGCACTCCAGGATTAACTTGCAACATAACGACATCAAATGAAAAGATAACAGATTGAATCCAGTGAGCCTTTTAAACTGGTAGCACTGAAACATTACAAATTTATAAATTACATATAACAAATTATATGTAACATATAATCAATGTATCAGGAGAAAACAGTCTGTGTGACTGTTCAGAAAATTTGCTTTAGTAGAAGAAACACAGGCCCTGCTATAACTCATACTAGTGTATATCACCACTGAGCTCCAGGAATTAAGTCAAAAACTATATGGTATGAAAAAGTGTGGTAAGAGGAAATGGAATCAATATACAGTCACCTTCTGTTCAGCTGCCAAATGTATTCAAAGTGTACACTGTTTGAGCCTAACAACCTTTGAAACTAACTTAAGTGCACGACGATGCAAGTTCAAATGTGTGACATACTCCTGGACATGTCTAATAAAGATCAGTAACATCTTTCTCTCTCTTAAAAAAAAAAAAACCCAAAACCAAAACCCCAAGGAAAAAAAAAAAAACAAACAACAAAAGCCCAACAACATAATAATTAAATAAATAAATAGTAAGTCTGTATTGTGAAGTTTTAAAAAATGTCCAAATCTTTATAACTTCATCATGGTACCTGATTATTTCCAAAAAAATTTAAAATCACTGGGCCAAATTTCTCAAATTTGATCCTAAACTTCATCCTCTTGAGCCAGAGACATCCATCGCTGAAAGGGACTGTACCAGGCAATCTAATTTAATGCAGTTTCCACACCTCTATCTAAAGAGATGTTTAAAGAAGACAAGTCTTGAAATTAGAGAAGGCACTGCTGTAACTACTTGTTACTTAGAATTAAGGCAAGTTTACTCTACACTGCTCCCATACAGCCAATTCGGGATTGAAAAGAGCTATACCAAAAAACATGATCCAGGAGCTGCAGCTTTTGATGCTTGTTGGGAGACACCTGGAAATTCTGGGACTCTGCTGTGTAAGGGAAGTAAAGCATGACCACATTACACATACTAAAGATGTTCCAAGAACAACAAGAAAAAGCTATTATCTGCATTCTATCTTTTGGTCTGCATCAGCCTCCCACTGAAATAAACGGGCCACTGAAAGTCCAGTGGAGTAATTTTTAAAGGAATTCTGCAATTTCAAGACAACAACAGAAGATCAGAACAGAACCTAGATCCAATTTTTATATTTACCTTTGTCAAAATTGAATAAATATAGCTGAGTTCTTAAAGGAAAAAAGATTGGCACTCACACATGGACTCTAATGCTGTTGCTTAGAAAAGTTCCCTACTGCAGTGATTTCAAAGTTACTCCTTGAGCAAAATCGGAACGTGAGCCTACAAACCCCTCTCTGTTCACATTACCACGCTTTCCATTTGCGCAAGCTGTCACTAGCAGCAATACAGCCCAGGCGTGTCTACACGGCTCAGTGTTGACAAACACAAGCTCATTTTCCCTGTACACTCACTGGCTTTCAACTAGCTGAATTAGTTCAGTAGCTTGCACACAGCTTATCGGCTCAAGCACAGTGCTGTGCGAACATGGCTACACAGCTTCCCAGCCAGGCATGGCTTGTGTCCAAGAAGCTTGGAGCACAGGCAGAGTGTGGATCTGTCTAAAGCACTCTTACCATGGCAGATGGATGGAGTTACACACAAAGAAACTGTGTTTTGCATTTGCTCCGTTTATAGCATGCGCTTGTCATCCAGAAGACAAGATATACTGAGGTCATCATTAAAAAGAAGATGGTTGCCTACCACTGCCACACAATAAAATCCAACAGCTCTTTTTCTAGGGGTTGAAACCTGAGATTATTGAAAGACACCGCCGTGTTGTAAATATTGGCCATAAATGGTTTTTACAGCTCAATGTTGCATATCTGTATTCTAGTAGATGCTAGGTTTATCATTCTCTTTGCAAAACCGTGCATTCACAGGTTCCTTTTTAAACTCTGTGTCCTCATCTGTATTGTCCAGATAGCACTCTGGGTTACAGAAATCTAGTCCTTTAAAACATCAATGTGTTTTCGTCTGCAAGCTGCGCATTCCTATTCCTAGGCTCTTCAAAGAGAGTCTCTCTTAAAATTCAGATGACATCAGGGCTCTGTGGTATGCTCCAACATCATGCTCAGCGACCAAAGGAGCGCTGTGGAGGTCACCTCTTCCGGCAGGCTAGACTGAGTCTACTCTGCCAAACACTGGCGTTCAGCTCAGTGAAACACCCTATCCAGACCCACCCTCTTCCTTGTTCCCTCACTAGGCCTTGCAGGGAATAATACTGCTGTTTTCCTCAGTGCCCATGTCTGAAGACTCTAGCCCATTCAGCCACTGTAAAAGAGCAGAAGTGGGAGCAAAGATTTTGCCCCCACATCCTGTGGTTACACTGACGACATGCTGCTTTGTCCCATAGCTGCATTGCCCTTATATACCACTGGAAGGTACACAAACAGGATTCTAAAAACACAACGTAAGCATTATTCAGGTGAATGCATGGCTACAACTTATTTGATATTTTGTTGTAATGACTAGTAATCATACCCACAATTGTTTTAATGTATTTTATTAGCAGTACATCCAGTATGACTGGATGCCTTTCCTGAAGCATATTCCCCTGTCTCCCTCCCCTCCACACTCCCACCCCCAAGTTCTGAATTACAATATCGTAATTTGCACTGTCTGGTATTTTGACTGTGCTACCACTGTAATTTAGGTGTCTGACATGTCAGCGCCACATTCTTGCACCGAGCGAGACTGTGAATAATGTACCACAATGTATTAACTATGCAGAACACCTCCTCTATCCCAAATTTCTAAAAACTTAAAATAAAAGAGATTAACAGTGACTTACTTTTGCATTCAGAGGGCACACAGACAGTGCACTCCTAAAAAGCTGTTCTTCTGACCTCCACTGACTGCTGCGGAGTGCACAGCGCATTACATTTACCAACAAGATTCCAAGTACTGCCACAGCAAGAATTTTCTTAAGGAAAGAGGGACAAGTTAAGAAACAAACCATTCAATTGAAACACTTCATCATCAGCTTTACTGATAGTTTTGATGGTACCTTTTTCTTGGCTTGCTTACACAAAAGACTAAATCCGTATGTAAACAGAATACAATATCCAATGCTGGGGAGGTAGATGACTCTCTCTGCAACAACAAATCCTACTCGGAAGAACAGATTACTTGCAGGAAGAAAAGGGATAATAAGAAATCCAAGTCCCAGTGTAAGAATTCTGCAAACAAGAAACAGATTCTCAGATTAACCACAAATCTTAATAAAATTACCTTTCCCACTTAACATACAAATTTCATTTAAACACAGTAGAATGAAGGGTGTATGGAGCAGGGCATTCAACAGCAGCCTTTAAGAACTACTAACAAAACCAGATTAAATTTCAGTGAGGTTTTGACACTTCATTCCATCAGGTGCTTTTAAAATTCTAGCTATGATTTCCAGAAAAGCAACGTTCATGCTTCCAGGCAAGAAAATAGCCCCATTACACGTTAATTACATAATTCCTCTTTAAAATATAACAGCAGGATAAGTAATGGTAAAAGCTACCTGTCTATTTTTGGAAATAGTAAGACAGGGGAAAAATACAGGTCACCGACAAAGAAGAAACTCGGGCGCACATCCTACTGAGAGCGCTTTCTTTCCTAACAACAGCAGAAGCCATCATGGTTAACAACTGCAAAGTTAGTAACCTGCGCTCTTTCTACAGTCAGCAGAGAGGGACACTTCTTGAGGGCAGTTTTCTTCCCTGATTTAGGTTCCTGTGTTAGGATGAGTAATCCTTAGCAGGTAACTCTGCATGGACTATACACAGCTTACACAACTGACACTAGGTACCTTACTTTTACAGAGCTGACATAAGGGAGAAAGAACCCCAGGTCTGTGTCAGGTGTTTGTTATAAAGGCCACAGACATGGTAGTTTTCTACTCTAATTTCTTACAAATAAATCTCTATACTGTGATGTAGTTGTGTCCTCTTACTCTTCAGTCATCCCCAAGAGTCCTAGGCCTTCACCACAGTTTTTGTCATTACTTTTTACTAAAAAACTGTTCAGCAATATAGGCTTAGTGAGTGCATTTTTTCTAGGAAGTATGACACCGCTTGTTGTAAGAATATCACCGCCCTCCAAAATTATTTTATCTGTGCAAATGAGTATGGGAAGAGCAGAAAGGAAGGCAGGTGGGTTGTTAACATTTGAGGGGACAAGAGGGAAGAGATGAAATTACAGAATACCACATAAAAGAAAAAGAAACATTCAGCATTCTGAGCAACTGAATGACTGTGTTGTGATTGAGCTTTTGAAAATTTTTGAAGAACTGAGAAATTAATTATAATAAAACCCATGGGAACAGAACCTGAAAAGTTAAACATAAGCCCTTAGTGAGACAGAATAGTTTACAATAAATTTTTTAGTTCCTTTGGGTAAAGTGTTTCTTGGCAGATACTATGGGTCAGCAGTTTATTTTTTAACTGTATGGCCCTGGTCAGCATTTCTACCTCCTTTGAAGGCACATCTACTCTATCTTTCATTAGTAGAAGAAGATTAAAAGAGATGATGCCTTGTAAGAAGTAGAGGAAACAACATACATCATTTCCTACTCTGTTCTGAGCACATATTACTTTTTACTACCTACAGTGCTGAGGGTCTTAAAATGCCATTTCTGGAGAAAAATAAAGCATCCAACCATTCCTCCTCCTCCAACTCTGTTTCGCACTAGTCAGAAAACAGTGATGGGTCCAAATTGGGATAAAACTGTAATGACAGCTATAAATATTTATTTGAACTGCATTTGCTAGACACTGTTTCCACTGCATTGTTAAAATTACCAGTAGTGGATTTAACAAAATAATACTGTAGTCAAGTTAGCCAGGCATTTAAAATTCATCACTGTCTCTTACCTTCTCTTATGGCTGTCTTCTGAGCACAGAGCTTGGCATATCAGACCAATTAGGCAGAACCAAAGTGCTGCTAGTGCAATTATCCTCCAGTCACTGACGGATTTAATGAGGGGTATGCAGCCCATTGACCAATCAAAACACAGCCACCAGGGACACAACAGCAACCATGCATTCAACGAATAGTAGTAATTATAGTTTATAGCCTGTCAGTCAAAAAGAAAACAAACATTTATTTGATACTAAACTTTGGGAGGGGAGGGGAAGGGACACCCGAACTTTAGTTCTTGTCTCTGCTATCATTTCCCTTATCACAAAACATATCTTAGACAAGAAAAAGGCCTTAAATACTGTTAGACTACAAGTACTTACATATCCATTTATTTCACAGCTGTGAAATTACTTTTTTTTGAAACCTATCTTAGGTGGCTCTGCTATTTAGAGCACGTAAATACAATCCTGTGCTGTCCAACCAATATCCACATGTAAAAAAATTAATCTCCTGCAATAGGAGAAAATGTCGAAAGAGAGCACCCACTGTTTTTGCCCTTCATCTCCACCTCCAGAAAGAGCCTTAACGCAGTCAGAGACATAAAGCCAAGACATACTCCAAATGCACCAGACCAGAACTTTATGCTATATTCTTCAATTGTGAAAGAACAGATGAAAAATCAAGCACAGTATGTGGAAAAGGTATGAAACCCAGCAAAAGCTAAATACTTGCATGCACAGGAAAAATAGTGAGTAAATGGAAATGTACTTCAATGTGTGCAGTGCATGTTAACTTGAATGCAAAGAACACACAAGGTATACTATTTTAAAAAATTGCAGAAATCCATCACAGCAGCACAAGTGAAGGTGACTCATCACATATTTTTGAGACGTAAAGACTGCCCACTTCATTGTTTCTTTGAAGCACAGAAAATTCAGTTTGGTGACAAAGACAAATGTTCTGAGCTGGCCAGAAAAAAAGCAACTTCACTACTTACTCTCACAAACAGGCTGTCTGCAAATGAAGCTGGGTTGTCTACTTCAGTGAAAGCCGGTGGCCCCGTGCCCATAATCCTCCAGCGTATATAAAGTATACTGGCCCCTCCAGACATCAGAAGAGTTATCCTGAAAAGCAGCCCCTTTTTTAACAGCCCAACATTCTACATGAAAGAAACAAAGGAAAAACCATTCATACAAAAATCATTATTTTGTTCTCTTCAATACTACATTTGCATCCTTTTTGCCACTACCTCAGGAAGATGAGGCTATTCCTGTGCATTTTTGCTAGAAAGCTCTCAAACTTTACTATGCTTTCCTTGATTGATTGCAAAATAGCTTTTGCAAACATTCTCATTTCCTTCTCACTCAGAAAACTTTTTTATTCAGGAGGTCTCTCTTCTACAAATCCTCAGTAACTCTATAACTGATGTAATTTTATGCAGCCATTTCTGGTAGGGAATTTCAGCAGAATACAGCCCTTAGTATACGGCGTATCAAACTGATCTAGGTTTTCTTTTTTAAAATGGAAGGTGGTTACTTTGTGAACTTTGTTTTAAATAGCCATACCCCATTGACTGCTTATCACAGAAAGTTTTTGTCACTGAGGTCTCTTTAGAGGTGAAACTACAGGCAAACAAGAAATCTGAACTGTCAGAAACTGGGAGGAATTACAAACTGAATTAAAACTTTCACAATCGCTAACCATGATTAAAAAGCCAATGACAGAGAGACACCCAAATCACTTTGGTCAGGCTAAAATTACCCAAGATCTACAACAAATGGTGGTTTATCCACATGAACGCAGTTGATTTACATCACATACTTTATAATATACACCTTAGAGTCTAAAAAAGTCACTTCATATAAAACATGGAGAAGTGATGCCATAGGAGCTAAATTTAACAGATTTTCCATTTTTTCCTCCGTGAAGTATAACGCATCTTCTCCAAGCACACATCCATTTCATAAATTAAAAGAAAACCGCTGTATACTCTAGAGGTTCTTCAAGCTTCACCAGTGGAGAATGGAAACACAGTCATCAGCAACTATAACGACATGTCTGTCAGAGTTGAGATGCAAATCCAAGCTTCCAACACACTACCCAGCTAGCAAATGGTAACTCAGAAAGGAAATGAAGGGCGTAGCTTCTCTCTGACCCTCTACATTACAGGGCAGTAGGGCTGCCTTAGGGCTCTCTGAAACCTGATGGCTGAAATTATTCTACGCAGTCTCACAAGTCATTAGAGAAGCAGAAGATGGAAGATAAGAACTTCTCTGAAATGAGAGATCATTTGGGCCACTTCTCTTTTCATTCTACACATCTGAAGATGAAAGTGTCAGTAAACTATTGATTTTTATGTGGAAAAATTGACTGGATCCTGAAAAGTATGGACATGTGATCTCCAGTACTAGCCTTCCTTAAATCCTACCTTCCTCCCTTAGCCTGATACGCTTTTATTACCTTTAAAAACCTACCTGATAGTTATACATTATCAGTTCTGTGTTCTCCATGGGAGATACATCAATTATTATTACCTATTATTGTAATACCCTGATTAGCAAGCACCACCTTAATTATTTAGGAGATAAATATTACTTATTTCTGAAGATAAAACTAGTACTACTGAGCTTACTGCACAGACATCTAACAATGTCCTGGCTGAAGAAATTTATTTTCTAAAATGATGGAAAAGTTAAGTTTAAAAGCAATATTCAGAGGGGGTTTTAACATTTTTAGTTGTCAAGGGAGTCGTCATAAAATATTTAGCTGAATGCCTAGAGATAAAGAAGTTTGTAAGGTTGATTTTACGTAAGTTAGCCTTTGTGCTCACATGGTTACTTCCAACTTACACATTTCAGTAACCAAAGTCACTACAATGAGGATTACAGGAAAAACATTCCTAAAAAGTGATTTTGGAAGAGAATTGTGCTACGAAGGAAAACCATATAGTGACAATTTATAACCACCTTATGACAGATTAACTACACAAAACCTCTTAGCCCAGGATTCATTCCATTTAACAGTACATGCAGCCTCTTAAAGGCCAGATTTCACAAATCACCACAAAATCTCTTAGTAGGCAGAATTTTAGAAGTTGAAGAAGTGTTATGGTATCATGAAACTGAAACTTGTCTCAATTGAGAAGAAAATCCGCAAGTAAGAGAATTTAAGATCTGCCTTTCAACAAAATAAACCAAAACAAAATCTTACATACACTTCCATGAAAAGAGCAGAACAGATTTTTGTAGGTGCCAGGAGCTAAAATTAATTACTTCTATTAAAAGAAGAAGAAAAAGGCACATTTGATATTTTCTTCACCCAGACAGAACTGTTTAAAAGTCACTAAATGGAAGCATAACGCTTTGAGCTCTTCATGGTTAAAGAGCAAACCCCCAAAAAGGTTTGACATTGACACATTTCACAGAATCATAGAATGATGTGGTTTGAAAGGGGCCTTTAAATTCCAACTCCCTCTTGCCATGGATAGGGACATCTTTGAATCTCTCAGATTACTATCCATTACTGATTTTTCAGGTAGGCAGAATCACCTCCCTTGACCTGCTGGCCACGCTTCTTGTGATGCAGCCAAGGATATGGTTGGCTCTCTGGGCTGCAAGCGCACACTGCCAGCTCATGTCAAATTTTTCATCCACCAGTATTCCCCAGTTCTTCTCTGCAGGGCTGCTCTCAATCCATTCATCTGCCAGCCTGCACTGATGCTGGGAATTTCCCCGACCCATGTGCAGGACCTTGCACTTGGCCTTGGTGAACTTCATAATGTTCATATGGGCCCACCTCTCATTACGGTTTCCACTTGGACATTGAGCCACTGACTATAATGCTTTGGATGCAGACATCCAGCCAATTCCTTATTCATCTAACAGTCCTTCAGTCAAACCTATATCTCTCCGTTTCAGCTGCAAAAACGTTGTGGGAGACCATATCAAAGGCCTTAGTGAAATCCAGGTAGATGACATCAGCAGCTTTCCTCTTGTCTGCTCATGCAGTCACTGCACTGTAGAAGGCCACTAGATTAGTCAGGCATCATCTACCCTCGGTGAAGTCACGTTGGCTGTCTCTAATCACCTTCCTGACTGTCATCTGTTTTGACGTAACTTCAGGAGGATCTGCTTTATGATCTTACCAGGCCCTGATGTGAGGCTGACTGGCTACTTATTCCCAGGATTCTCCTTATTACCTTTTATTTCCATCACTTTAATTCTGAACTGGCTCTGCTTTAGTTCCCTACAGCTCTAGATTCTTTCCTTGTCACATGCTAGTTGACATTACTTTCATTATACAGCAAAATTCTCCAGCATTCATATTTTCTGCTTGGAATACTCCTGCACCTCTCAATTGTTCTTTGTCAATTCTACTGTTTCATTTCTACAGATTCCACTTTCACTGATCTCCCCTTGAAGCTAATCACTTTGCAAAAGCATTTAAAAGCCCCATAGGACTTGTACTACTAGAAACATGGACAAGACTTCTCTGCAGCTAAACCACTGATCGATGAAAAGTACAATGAATATTCCTTTGCCTTGCTGAACCTTGAAGAAGCAAATGTAGCTGCTGAACAGTGGTGATGTTGGTCTGCCTATCTGGCTGCTATCAATCATTCACCTGAGGCTGACTGTTTCTGTGATTTGCTTGTCAGTGCAAATACCAGGTGCCTGATTCCATTTGAGCCAGTATTAGATAAAGCGCTATCAACAAAAGTCAGAAATTCAACCCTTAGTGACTATCAGTGCTTACATATTTCTTCTTTTAAACTCCCAAGCTACTAGGAACCGTCTCCTGTTTGGTAATTTGTATTCTGAAAAACACAGTGTAATACTTTAGTGGGACTGGCAAAGCAGACATATGTTTTTCATACACTTCTTCAAATGTCGATCTATCTTATTTGAGAATCTGAATAAAACTCTCTCTCTTTACTCTGACCAAACCGTTAAACAACCATTTCGGACCTACAGCTACTGACCCTGGAGAAGTTGTTGCATCAAGCAGTCAGCTCTTCCACACCGTATTTTTAACACATTGTTCAGAGAAGTGTGGAAGTCACTATCCGGTGCAATTCTAATGCTATCACATTACTACTCACGTTGCTGCAAAGGTGTCATAGCACATTGCCTTAATTAGGCTGACCTAAAATACCTTTTTTTAAAAAATTCTCAACAACAAAACTGTCAGAAGTTTTATCTTTTTCTTTTAGTACATGACTGTGTGAATGGCCAGAATGAACAAAAACTCTTGAGGACTCACCTCCAATGACTTGTCCTTATGTAGTAACTTTTGAATAAGCTCCAAAACATTTAGCTTGTTAATCACTAGTGCATCAAACACTGCATTCAAACCCTAAGCAAGCAAGAGAAAAATAACAGCATTAAGATGGAACAGCTAACCACAAATAATTTTTAAAAAATACATTTTAAATTCCACTTCTGCTATGACTTGTTGTACATCTTCACTCTGATTCCAAACCAGTAGAGAGATAGGATGGTAGTAATGATGGCAGAATGGTAAACTGAGAACTTGAGCTCAGATGAGTAGAATATCATGTTACTATAATGGGGATTCTCCTGCTACATGGAATAACCCTTTGGAGAATACCATGTACCAGCAAACTGGATCCCATATGCATGGTCACAACAGTATTCTGCTCTCCATCTTCTTTCCCAAATGTTTCACAGCATAAATACTGCGGTCAAAAACATCTGTCAGTAAGGAGGAGTTTGTTTAAGATTTCCATTATTTTTTGCTTTGCAGCAGTATGTCTTGACAGAGAGAGGTTTCAGAAATACTATTTTGAAAGTGTGTATAAATTGTCACAGCAAAGAAAAGCTCAGAAGATTTAACAGAGGTATCAGGCTTGCTTTTCTTGCCATTTCAGCAATATACACAGTGGAAGTTGCTGAACAAAAAACCTCACAAAATTCTATGTGACACCAGCCACTACACATAAAACTAGAGCATATTCAATGCTTTGCAGGACTACACTAGCAGATACTACCCCCAAGCAACCAACCAAAATGTATCCCCAGGGGTAATTCTGTTGAGGTGACCAGCAAAATCCACCTTTAACATTTTTCCTTCAACGTTTCACCAATCACCAAACATGACAATAATCCTTGACTATTTTCCCTATATCCTAGTAACCTGGAAAAAAGACCGTAAAAATTGTATAGTTTGGGGCCACAAGTCTCTTTCTAACAGTCAGAGGGAGAAGACAGAAGATAGGTTAGACTGTGGCACGGTTCCATGTAGAAAGGCCACATGACAGTGGAAAGGCTTTTGGCTCACTTGGATGGAGACAGTAAGGCAAGAATCCTCCTGAAAAATACATTCAGCCTACAAGCAATCTTTTTAATGTGTGATTTATCCCTCTGACCTGTGCCCCTCAGCACTACAATAATATAATCGTCCTAGCAATGCAACAGCAAACAAATAAAAAAACCCATAACTAGTAACAGTTCTGTGTCTGCTAGCTCAAATAATTACTACATACCAGCAAAGAAAATAATCACACCATGTTTTAACATAATTCCTTATGTTTTCCTTACAGACACCTTTTAAAAATACATCACTCTACAAACATCTAGCCAAAAATAAACATAGAATCATGGAATGGTTGAGGTTGGAAGGGACCTTAAAGACCATCTAGTTCCAAGCCCCCTGCCATGGGCAGGGACACCTTCCACTAGACCAGGTTGCTCAAAGCCTCATCCAGCCTGGCCTTGAACACTTCCAGGGATGAGGCATCCACAGCTTCTCTGGGCAACCCGTTCCAGTGCTGTACCACCCTCTCCTGATGTCCAATCTAAATCTCTCCGCTTTCAGTTTAAAGTCTTTACCCCATGTCCTGTCACTACATGCCCTTGCAATGTCCTAAAGCAAGAATTTTTTTGTAATCCCTTCTCCCTTGTTTTCTAGGATGGACAAGAGGGTCCTTGCTGCAAAGAACCCTTCTGATTTTGTTGCTATATCTGTATGTCAGTTAAAGCTAGAAATCAGATTTATTTATAAAGACATATGGCTACATAAAAGGTAAAAATCACAGGTGTAGCATTTCAGGTGCCTTATTTGGTCACCCAAAACAGAACGTCTTCACTGAAGTAATACAAAGCAAGAGCACAATGAGCATGAGCAATAACTGTATTTGTTTGCACAGACAGATCCTTAAATAAGGGACAGAAGTAAGCGATTCAGTATTAGAAATGCATAAACATCGGCTCCACTTCAATTACACTGTTCACAAAAACAAGAGGGTAGAGCTTTTAAAAACACTCTCCTCCAATTATATCTTTGCTGATAAGCCTTCAATGAGTGGTTTGTAAGCTTGCTATCTCGAAAATTACATCCAAAACCAAGGCCTATGAACATGACACGCATTGAAACAAACACTGTAAAACTTTCAAACTTTTGCAAAAAAATTAACAGGTATATGCAACCTGCTTACAAAAGATAAAATGAAGAATTTCAATAGACTGGTAGGTACGTAATCTAAACAGATCTACCAGAATACTGCTTTGTGTCAACATTGTTCCCTTCTGTTGGACTGGATGATCTCTAAGGTCTTTTCCAACCCAGTGATTCTATGATTCTTCAGAAAACCAGTTAAAAAGGTGTGCATGCAATTAGCTGTGGAGAAGATTCATCTCTGTAGGTTTTACAACTGCACCTGACAGATGCTGAGGTCAAAATTCAGACAATAAGAGGATTCTTACCAGTATTGTAATTCCTTGTTCTTTGCACAGCATGGCTACTGCACCTAGAGTAACGCTCACCAGCACCCAGAATATAGAAAAATTATGTCCTTCCTTACCTGTCAAAATAAACCATGCCATAACATTAGGTTTATACATTTAAAGTTCAAGAGTTAAAGTTAGAAATCTAAATTAAAATTAGAATTTTAAAAATATACAGCGTATAATCGCACAATCTTTTCTATCAGTCACGATCTGGATACACAGACTTCAAAAGCATAGGGCATCTCCTGCAATATGCTGGCGTTTGTCCCTTTATTGCAGTCATTTTCTGCTCTCAGAGACATTAGAAATCCCCCTGTTTGCTAGATGGTTTAGCCAGATTAATTAGAATGGCAGAAGCTTCACATTGTTTCCACAATTCATCATCTGCAAAGGTTAATTCCCAGTATTTAGACACATCTATCATCCTTAGCTAGAACTCTATCATTACTGGCCTCTCTCTTCCAGGCTACCGTAAGAAGAAAATCTTTCTAATGGTTACACATGAAGTGTCACACACACAAACTGTTTCAACTGTAGTCTAATCTACAAAGGCACAACGAGCTGCTTCTCCAGGGCTGCTGCATTTAGCAAGTGCCTCACGCCATTTCATTAGCACTGCAATGGAATGCCATGGAGCTCAAAAATGTCAGCATCTGAGCAGAGAAGCAGTTAGTTCGGGCACTCAGGAAGCAGTTCTACAGCAGGGTGAGGAGCTCTGGGGTTAAGAGATCAAGAGTAACTACCGCGTCTACTCAAAGAAAGAGTCTTTAAAGACTGCACCATGTAGCTGGTGTTGGGTACTACAAGCAGGCATTTCTCAGATTAATATAACAATAAGCCCTACCTCAGCCAAGGTACTATCACACACACAGTACATGGGTACTTCACATAAAAACATATCTGTCACAACCTCTACTCCACAGGTGCAAGCAACAGAGGGAAGGTCTCTGTTCATTCAGAGGCAGTCTCTTGATTCAAGCAATGTAGGCTCTACAGGCATCACAAGAATCGATCTTTGACTTGGCACGTGAAAAAACAAAGTTGAACTCTACATTCATCGAGGGAATCCCTTTCCTGCTTTCCTTGATCTCCAGAGCAGTTCTCCCTACTGCTAATGAGGGTTTGACCCTCAGTACTTAAACAGAACTGCAATAATGGTTTATGGAAGGGGTAAATGGCAGAATTAAGATTAATTTCACCAGAAGTAGGCACCTACACCTAAGATAGTATACTATGCCTCCTTTCTAACTGGTTGAGAGAAGGAGACACCTTTAGGGATTAAGTTACCTAATTAGAGTTGTCCACCTTTCAGAGAAGCAGCTCTTCTCACTGATAGGATATAAAGGGAAACTAGTATGCTAGCTCAGATGCTGTCGGGTCAGATACAAACCGTAACCACAAGTGTGAAAAGGATCTGCTGACATTGGCCTCTGCTCTCACTCTGAAGCAGACTATTTCTTTTATGGCAGAGAGCAGAAGTTTGCATAAAAATATGTGGAAGAACAGGTTTTGAGGTTGCTCTAGCACTCCTTTCTGACCTAACACTTAAAGCTGCAACAGAGTGAATATCAAGATGTTGGAGATTCATCATTGCAATACCTAAGTAGGCATTTATTTCTTCTCCCTCCACTCCAAATTATGCCTCCACAGGTGAGATAAGACTTAACACTGAAGGTGCACGTGTTATAGTTAAAAGAAATTCTTCTGAATACATGGTCATACATCCCAACAGTATCAAAACAAAACATGGAAATACATAATGACTAAACTAAAGAAACAATGCAACTAAATAAAAAAATAACTGCAATGAAGAAACTCCATCTCACATCAGTTATACAGAAGAACAACTGAGGATTGCAATTCATGGAGGAAGGGGCTTCAAAAATAATTCTAAGAGTACTGCTAAGAATAAAAGGAATCTGTCCTAAACACATCCCCTGAAGGCACTCTTCAGACTCTATAAAACAGCAGACTGTTCAGCCAGTTCTTGAAATTCAGTTTTGATGTGTTTGGTGGGGGTTGTTTGGTATTTTGGTTTTGGAATTTTTTTTTTTTTTAATGTAGAAATAAATTGGCTGAGAGAATGCAAAGATGGAAGGCAAAATAATTGTCAGTGTTCACAAAATGATAATCAGTCATTTTTAGTAAGTGTAAAAGGGAGAGCAATGAACAAAGCCAATGAACTTCTCAGTTTACTTCTTCAGTTTACTGAAGTATACACTTCCTTCAACTGAGAGACAACTTCTTCCCAGAATCAAATTTTGGCGGAAAGAAGTCACAACTGAGCACTTCTCGGAGAAGCAGTATGCAGTACACAAACACAAACTTATCTTAACACAGAAGATAGTGGGGAGTATATATAGCAATAGACCAGCTGGCAATTCACAAATGCTTTGATGATTTGAAATGCAAGAGTAATAGGAAAAAAGGAACTAGGTCAAATGATCAAGGACAAGTTTAACACAGCACACGCATACAGAAACAAACTCCGAAAGGTCACATCAGAAAATAAGAAAAGGTAGTGTATATAAATAATAAAACCCACAGTTCCATAGATACATTAGTAAGAGAGGAGCAGCAAGGAAGGAGTGATTCCAATACTCAGTGGGAAAGAAAATGGACAATGCCAAGGAAACAGAAGAGTTCTGTGCCCTTTTGCTTCATTTTTTCACAGAGGTCAGCTGCAATCAGATGGCAAGCACAACATAAGTAGAAAGGGAGCAAGAACAAAAGCAAAACTAGTGAACTACAAGACACAGAATTTATAGAGAAATTAATCTGTTTTCAATTACAAAGGTTGGTTAAATTTATTCCAAGAGGTCCTACGTAACTCGGAGTAATCTCAATTGCTCACTCGGAGAGATCATGAAAAACATGAGAATCCAGTAATTCAAAATAAAATAAAACAATGACTATGTGCCTATTTTTAAAGAAAAGAGATACGAAAGGATAAGCTAAGTAAGCAAAGCTAAGTTGACTGGTCAAAATTACCCAAAAAGGTAATACCTTTCAGCTGAATTACCTTTCAGCTGAAAAGGAAACAGTCTAGAAGGTTCC